TCAATGCCACCCCTGTTCTGTGTGATCTTTATAGACACTGGCCTTATGGAATTATTTAGCCATAGGTGACGTTACACTATCAACATTTGTAGGCAATTGTTTTAAGCTTTACTTATCTACATTTGTTCCTCCAATATTGTCGTATTTGATTCAGGGTTCTACTATAAAAGCACTAGAACCATTTCCCCATTCCCACAGCCACTGTCTGTATAGGAGTATTATGAAAACGGTCAGCAGTTTGTTTATTTATTTATTTTTTCATTTTGAAAAGAAAGGGCCCATTAAGCACCATAACAACTAGAGCTTTTGTCATGTTTATGATACTATGAATCTGTAGGCTCCGTCTATATATTTGTTATCAAATCATTATGTGTTCGCAGAAGTGTAGTATTTGGATAAGGGCAGCAAGGGAGGTTATGGGTGCCGGGGAGATATAGTGTTTATGGTGTTTAGACTGTATTTACATCTACATTAAAAAATGAATTCTTAGAAAATTATTTCAAGATGTACTTTTATTTTTTGCAACCATGAATACAAGAGAAAATTCCAGCTGCAGTTTATGAAAATCTGTTTGCTTACTCAAGACTTTTTAAGTGATTTTGCTCACAATATGCCATTATTTTCTTGGTAGCAATAAAATACATTTTCACTCACCTCATACATCCAAGCACTGAAAGGCCTTTGCCAAGTCTCTTTCTTCTCCAAGTGGAGATAGGCATTAAATAGTATCAAGTAGATGTATCGCTCCAAGTACTGAAGACTTCTTAATTGGAGTAGCTGCATTTCTTTAACATTTTTAGCAGTTTTTATCTGCAAACAAAAAGTTCATAAGCACATCAGTGAAAAGAGTAGAGCGAGAGTTTCATGTTAATTCAATATGGTGGTGATTGTGACTTTTTTTTAATATAAATTCTTGATTTATATTTTTTTCAATATTTGGTTAAGCAAAAACAGTGATTACAGAATAAAGAAAGGGAAGTGGGTAAACATCAGGAATAATACAACATCATTGGTATCAATAGTGAGAAGCGCATCACTTGAGTGTACAGCAAATAACATAGGTGGAGGCAGTACAAACGTTGAGGTATACTGAGGGTATATATTATTATTTTATTATTTATATAGCGCCAGCATTTTCCATAGCGCTGTACAATGGATGGACTAACAGACACGTAATTGTAACCAGACAAATAGATGCACAGGAACAGAAGGGTTGAGGGCCCTGCTCAATGAGCTTACATTCTAGAGGGAGTAGGGTATAGTGGCACAAAGGGTATAAGTAGGGGTAATGAAATGGGTTGCTTGAAAAGTGATCACTGAGAATTTAGTAGGTTATTTTTGACAGTTGCAGGAGAGGAGTAATGGGGCAGGAGGGAGATGAAAACCTGCTAACAGTTTAAATTACAGGTGATAATCAAAAAATTTAAATATCATGTAAAAGTTCATTTATTTCAGTAATGCAACGTAAAAGGGGACACTAATATATGAGATAGACGCATTGTTTAACAGTGAATGGAGGGACAGTGCCAAGGGATTTGAGGCACTATAACCAATTCGACAAGATGAAATGGATATATTGCCAGAGGGCTAAAGATACCAGCAGAATGTGTCTGTAGGTTTTAAACAACAAAATCATGCTTTAAAAATCTTCGCTGAAGAAAATTTTAATTCACTGTGGAAAAAAAATAATGTTTTTAACAGTGCATTTTCTTTTATTAATAATCTTATCTCTCTTTCACTCTGTATAAGTAAGCACACACATACATATGTACATTGTAAATGTCTACTTTATCTTATTTTAGCAAACATTAATTTCAAGAGAAATTGGCACTTTTATAAATGTCACAAATCGCACCCTTCAGACAGACAGCTGGGAGGGCATACTTTCATATTTGTCTGTAGTGCTTGCTCAAAACCGAAGGCAATGCTTCTCATAAAGAAGCCCTGAAATCAATGTTTCTCTATGAGGTTAATTATTTTTGCACACTGCAACAATTGCAGCAATGCACTAGAGGACCCCAATGAGAAGCTTTAGATTGGGGCAAGATATACCCTTTAGTGAACATATCCCAGACATAGGCTTACGCATGGGGTGTGCCGGGTGTGCCTGGGCACACCCTAATCCCCGCGGCATACCTGTGAGTCCTTCAGGAACGCATGGGAACACCGTTCCCACTGTTCCTGCAGGCACTCTGCCACCCCCAAATGCCCTCCTCCTCCCTCCGTGTTTCCCATGTCATGGGGGGGGGGCAAGAGGTGATGGACACCCCCCACCCCCCGGGCACCTGACTCCATCTCAGATGCAGCGAGGGAACTGTGTGCTCTCTGCTCCTTCTCGCCGCGCGCCGTTTGCTGATGCCAGAAGCCAGAATATGACGGAATATTCCAGCTCCCGGCATCAGCAAATGGCGTGCGGCAGTGGCGTACTAAGGGAGGGGCGGGGGGGGCGGTCCGCCATGGACAGCCCCGCCGCCCCCCCCATGCTGCAACCGCCCGAGCGCTCTGTAGAGAGCCTCAGGCGGCTGCAGCTTTGCCCGGGCGGTGCGTCCATGAGGGCGGACTGCACCGCCCGGGCGCAGCCTGAGAAAGGGGGCTGACAGGAGGGAAGCGCTGAGCGCTCCCTCCTGTCAGCTTCCTTTGCTGTAGCACTGAGTGTGCACTTCCTGTTAGTCCGGCCGGGTACAGGAGACAGCTGCTCTCTGTACCCGCGGACTATACTGGCCCCGCCACGCCTGGGCTGCTGTGCTGTAAAGTGGAGAGAGAAAGAAGGGGTGATGGGAAGTGCTGAGGGGGAAGAAAGAGGAGAAAAGGGGGTGAAAAGGAGGGGTGAAAAGAGGAGAGAGGGGTGAAAAGGAGAAAAGGGGGTGTGAGAGAGGGGGCAAGCGAGAAAGGGGTGGAGAGGGGTGAAAGAGGAGAAAGGGGGGGTGAAAGTTAGAGAGAGAAAGTAAAAGGAGAAAGGGGTGGAGAGAGGGGCAGCTGAAGGGGGAGAAAGGGGTGAAAAGAGGAGAGAGGGGGGGGGGTGAAAAGGAGAGGGGGGTGAAAGAGGAGAAAGGGGGGTGAAAGGAGGGGGTGAAAAGAGGAGAGAGGGGGGAAAAGGAGAAAGGGGTGAGAGGGGGGGTGAGAAAGAGGGAGAAAGGGGGTGAGAGGGGGGGTGAGAAAGAGGAGAAAGGGGGTGAGAAAGGAGGGGGGTGAGAGAGGGGGTGAAAGAGGAGAAAGGGGGGTGAAAGAGGAGAAGGGGTGAAAAGGAGGGGGGGGTGAAAAGGAGAAGGGGTGAGAGAGGGGGGTGAAAGAGGAGAAAGGGGGACAAAGAGGGGGGGTGAAAAGAGGAGAGAGGGGGTGAAAAGGAGAGGGGGGTGAAAGAGGAGAAAGGGCTTGGAAAAAGAGGGAGAGAGGGGGGGGCAAAAGGAAAAAGGAGAAAGGGGAGGAGAAAGAGGAGAAAGGGGGGGTGAGGAAAGGAGGGGGGTGGAGAAAGGAGGAGGGTGAGAAAGAGGAGAAAGGGGGGCAAGGAGGTGAGAAAGAGAAAGGAGGGGGGAGAGAAAGAGAAAGGAGGGGGGGAGAGAAAGGGAAAGGAGGGGGGGAGAGAAAGAGAAAGGAGAGGGGGGTGAGAGAGAAATTAGGAGGGGGGAAAGAGAAATTAGGAGGGGGAGAGAAATTGAAATTAGGAGGGGGGGGTAGAGAAATTAGGAGGGGGAAGAGATATTAGGAGGGGGGAAAGAGAAATTAGGAGGGGGGGTGAGAAATTAGGAGGGGGAAAGTATGGGAAATTAGGAGGGGGGGGTAGAGGAAAGAGAAATTGGGAGGAGGAGAAGGAAATTGGAGCTGGAGGAGAGATTGACATTCATCACATACACACAATGCACGCCTTGCACACAGAAAAACACACAATGCATTACACACACAGACACACATACACAAGCAATGCAACTGTTACACACAATGCATCCCTTACACACACAGAAACACACAATGCATTCATTACACACACTCAATGCATCCCATACATACACAGAAACACACCTTGCAGCCCTTACACATACAAACACAATTTCACACAATGCATTCCCTACAATAATATTATCAGACATCCCCACACACCCACCCCCCAGAACAAACTCACAGGAACATGAAGGTGGACCCTGGGACCCAGACCTTGAGCTGTGTAAAGGACCCCCAAAAATGGAGCTAAGCTCGCTCTCCCCCAGAACATTGATTTTGTGACCATTAGGTTACAAAACCGCCCAGAGAGCCTCCAGAAACCCTGCACCAGACCAGTGGAGCCAGACTGCAGCTAGAGCCCATCATCATCCTCATCTGGTTGTAAGTAGGCAATCTAGTATATTATTCATGGCACTAAGCTCTAATTTACCTCACATTAAAGAAACACTATAGTCCCCAGAACCACTTCAGCTTAATGTAGTGGTTCTGGTGTCTATAGCCTGTCCTTGCAGGCCTTTTAATGTAAACACGGCGGCACTGCAGCACTGGCGTTAGTTAACATGGCAAATCATATGGGTGGGGCATTGTGATGTCACATGGGGGGGGCGGCAAACTTTACTTTTGCCTAGGGCGGCAAAAATCCTTGCACCGGCCCTGGCTGGAGGGGGCTGTGTGAGCTGTGGCCGCACAGTGTCCCATGGTAGTTAGGGTGCCGTGCGGCCAGTACAGCTCACACAAGCAAACAGCTGATAAACTGGCCGCACGGAGGAAATGTGTATGTGTGACTGTCTGCCTGTGACTGTATGTGACTGTGCCTGTAACTGAGTGTGTGACTGTCTGTAACTGAGTGTGTGGGGCTGCAGGGATTTTGTAGAAGGGGGCGGGGGTTTTGTATTGGGACAGGAGTCTTTACAAATTGTAATTGTAATTGTAGCTGGAAGCAGAGAGCACACAGCTCCCTCACCGCATCTGAGATGGAGACAAGCGCCCGACCCACTGGACCCCAGGGACAGTTCTCCAGGCAGGGAGGCTGGGTGGACATTTTTAATAAAAAAAAAAATTGTGAGTGTCTGTATGTGTGTGCACGTGTATGTGTGTATATATATATATATATATATATATATATATATATATATATACACACACACACACACACACACACACACACACGTATATTTTTGGGGTTGGGAATCTTGGGAGAAAGATCTACCTCACCAACCCACAGCAGCATGGAGGCAGGCAGGAGAGGACCCGGGAAGCTCTAGACAGAAGCTCTGCCAGGTTCCTCTCACGAGATCTGAGCAACATCTATCAGATCTCGCAAGAGTGAACTCTAGCCCCACAGGCTAGAGTTCACGCTCCACTGGACCACCAGGGATGGCACATGGCAGCAAGGATCCCCCCTCCCTACATAAGGTAAGAAGGGAGGGGGGATATTTACTAATCTGCCCCCACCTTCACAATCCCTCCAAACATACAGCACACACATATAGCATCCTAACACAAACAGCGCGCACACACAGCACCCTCAAACGCACAGCACACTAACAGCACCCTCACAAACAGCACCCTTACAAACACACAACACCCTAACAGCACCCTTACACACACACACACAGGACCCTCACACACAGCACACTACCAGCACCCTCACACACAGCACACAAACCACACCCTCACCCACAGCACACAAACCGCACCATCACCCACAGCACACAAACCACACCCTCACACAGCACACTACCAGCACCCTCACCCACACAGCACACTACCAGCACCCTCACCCACATAGCACACTACCAGCACCCTCACACAGCGCACTAACAGCACACACACAAACTGAAGTGTATGTGTGTGTATATATATGTATATATATATATATATACACACACACACACACACACACATATATATATATATATATATACACACACACACACACACACACATACATGCGGCGTGTGTTTGTGCTTTAGGGTGCACACCCTAATGCAATAGGCTGCGCACGACTATGATTTCAGACCAGGGTGGAGAGGGGCAAAGTGGAGAAAAAGCAAGTAGACTACCTTGTTTATGGATTAGAGGTAAATACTTTATGTTAAGGGAACATGTGGGGTCCAAAATGTAATTATACATTAGAACACTCCAGAATTACAAATTAATATAAATATAATTTATTTATAATGCTGGAGTTCTCCATCAATTCTGCATTACCAATGCAGCAGAGTGTGTCATGAAGAACTCAGATTTTTAGAAAACCGCTACATTGTCTAAAATAAAACCAGGGGATTACGCCAAAAGACTTAAAGCAACATAACCACTACATTGAGCATTGTTTCTGTTGTTTACAATGTCTTGAAAAAATGGTGGCTCTATGTGCTCATTTTCACATTCAGTAGAGCATTCTGTAAAGGAGCATTGGAACATGTTTTAGAGCAACTGTGTCCGTAGATTTATTTTTCCCCCAAAAGGCTTGTCTTGGTGCACAACAATACATTTCAGATTTTACTTAAAATCGGTGGGGTATCACTTTATGATCCCACCACAACTTTATATGTAACATGATCATCGTGTTATTTTAATGGAAAGATCATGTTTATCATGTTGTAAAATCTCACATTGTACAATGTGATGTCATGCTTTGAAATGAAAACTAGATTGCATGGTATGACTCAACACTGTGCAGCGTGGGGTCCATTAAGCTTTGGCAAGCACCTGGATATTACAGCTGTTGTGGAATGAAATGTAAATGCTTAAATAAATATAAAGAATCCGGTCACATAATGATGAACCAAGTATTATGGGGGATGGAGGGGAGGGGGGAGAAAAAGGAAAAAATAATAAAATTAAAAATTCATTTTGTTTCCAAAGTAAGCCAATAATTTGTGTGGACTTTATTTAAATTTGCTGCTATTTTGTATTCTAAATGTATATATTTTGTAACAGGAAAATCATTAAAACAATTATAATAATGATAATCTGCTTGGATTTACTTTTGTCTATTGGTCACCTTTGTATGCTGTTCATCAGGTATAAGTGTGTCTCCAGAAATTTGACATATACATTCTACAGGAACATTTGTCAGTACTGTAACATTTAACAAAACTCAAAGCAAGAAGAGATCCCTGGACACAAAAGACTACTGCATGGACCATCAACCAGTTGCAGAAAGTCTTATGTAGGGAAATCCAAACTTGGCATTTTTGGGTCACTGAATCTTAGGACGCCAAGCATGCATAATTTTAGATGAACGCTAGTCATTTGAGTTATCGGCCTTTAAATACTATTCATCAGAACCAGACGGAAAAATAACTTTGTGTTGCTTTTCCATGAAGGATGTCCATATTACCAAAATTACAGAGACATGATCTGGTCAACCACAATGTTTCCCAAGAAAACAATGGCATCTACCTCAACAAAATCCCATACAGATGTGTATGAACGTCTCAACTTGAGTGCCAGCAGAATATTTCCCAATAAGAACCAGTGGTGGAATGGAGATTTTTTTTATTCATAAACATTTGGCTGAAATGTTTATCTTTACTAAGGAACAGTATTAAGCATAATCAAATACTATGTATCTTTCCAATAGCTGGAAGAAGTAAAATCTCAGCTTCTCATACAGCATCTGACTTGTTGCATCAAAAAGAGTAGGCGCTTTACCTATAGGTAGAAAAACTATTAGTTATTTTAAGGGGAGACCTCACTCCTCGTTAAGCCACCAGGGGTATGATTAGTAGTTACGTATAATCAGAATTTATCTGGGTTTATGCTGTGGATAGTAATCAAAACATACACACCATGCACTTTGTGTTTAAACGGTTTGTGTGCAACCTAACGCTTTATCTACTGTTTCAACTTCATAAACTGGCAAGTCCAAACCATGCCTTCCATCGTTTACAGGTCTGCAACTCCCATGTTTCACAGTCAGCCTCAAGTGTATAGTCACTGTAGGATACCTAGGTCAATAGCAGACATAAGTTATATTTGATTACATGTACCAGCTGAACAATGCATTCAGTGGTCCAACTAGGACACTTATTCCCAAATAATGTCTGGCTCAAATTATTGCAGCGAGATTTAGGATAATGACGTGTGCCTGCAAACTATACCATGCCATAGAATGCATTAAAAACAAAATGAAAATTATCCTAAAAGAAGAAACATTCACTTAATAACCAAATAGTTCCATGTGTTAAAGAAATTACTGCATACAAGTGAGACTCTGATTAAAATGTTAGAATCTTTTCTTTCTAATGAAATCTATATTATAGTAGGCTGTGAAATACATTCAGATCTCCTGAACGGCTGCCACGTCAGCAACCAGGGGCTCATTAAAACCCCATGACTGTAGAGCATGGTATTTATAGTGTTTAAGATATTTTATTAACCAACTGCCATGGTTTCTTCTAGGTAAATTATTTCCATCCCACGAGTTTGAGTTTACAGTACAAAGAATAGAACACTTAGGGGCCTTGATCGCATTGATCGCATTATATCAGATAACCCATTTACCCCTGGGTGCCAGTCGACAAACAGGGTTTATTTCTGTTATTGACAGAGGACATTAATCCTGTCGGCTATTTAAAGGCTACTACAACCACAATCTCGGTGAGACGTGACTATTGCTGTGTGCCACACGATTAAGGCTTTTAAACCCCCCCCCCAAGGGCTGCTCCAGTCATCTGATTGGTGTGGCACCATGCCACAGCCATTGTAATAAGGCAGCATCAAGAGGTCAAGAAGCATTTTATACTAGTCTGTTACAAACTTGGAAAATGCACCAAACTTTTTAATTTTTGCTTTATTTTGGATCAACAGCAAATACAGGTGTGAAGTCTGAACTTGATGGACACTCTCTCTTTTCACCCTTTGTAACTATGTATTCTCTAGGTAAGTAATGTTTCAATTAGCAAGTGTTTTTTAATTTTTCAATTTTGTTTGTTTATACACATTTTTTTTAAGCAATCTTCATTTTTGTTTTAAAGAAGTGCTGTTTTGATGATACATATTCCTGCATATTATATTATTTTTACATGAGCTCAAATATTTATTCTCTTAAATTCAAAATCTAGACAAAGGAATAAGCATCTTATTTTATTATCATGCGGTCAATAAAAAATATTTTCCTATACAGCAGGTAATTTAGAAATATGCAGAGTACACATCACTGGATTTACCATTGGCATGAGAATTGTTGATTTCTAACCAAAGAGAAAGATTTATAAAAAAAAAAAAAAAATGTACTTGTGTAAAAAACATCTTTTAGCCTTTGGCTGCAACTTATCATTAAGTGAGCCAATATTTGCATCATTCTATCTCCAGGGATGGAAATCTCTCTCATTGCAACAAAAAAGGCACATTTTCCTACTAAATTTTTCTGTAATATTAATGTCACCTAATAAAATGGATATGAACATATGACACTTGGCTCAACTTGCAGACTTTATTCTTGGTCTTATTAAATCCGTTCTTTTTGGCCATTTCCTGTTGCTGACCTTCAGGAAAGTGTCAGTACCCTCAAAAAACATTTAGGCCATGCCTAGTTTAGTTACCAAAATACCAAATATTGGGAAGGTTAGTTGAAAAGTTACATTTAGTGACTAGTTTTAGCATTGTAGGTTGCATTAGTGATCACAATATGGTAACTTTTGAAATAAAGCAAAAGCACATGGGCAGTGGCGTACACACAACCCATGCGACCACGGTGTGAAAACTGATCCATGGGCCGGCCCCCCGCACTTATTCTGCGCAAGTCGGGGCCGCAACACATGGCGGTGGGCACCTGGTCGCAGGGCTGCGACCGCGGTATGTACGCAAGTGCATGCAGATACATATACACTTAAAGGACCACTACAGACAACCAGATCACATCAGCTCAATGAAGTGGTCTGGGTGCCAGGTCCCTCAAGTTTTAACCCTGTAGCTAAAAACATAGCAGTTTCAGAAAAACTGCTATGTTTCACTGAGGGTTAATCCGGCCTCTAGTGGCTGTCTCATTGACAGCCTTGAGGAGCTTCCGCGATTCTCACTGTGAAAATCAAAGTGAGAAGACACTGAACGTCCACAGGAAAGCATTGAGTAATGCTTTCCTATGGGCGGTTTGAATGCGCACGTGGCTCTTGCCGCGCATACGCATTCGGAGCTGAGAGGCGGATCGAGGCGGAGGGATCC